TCTTTTAGGAAGGGCATTTTTTTCTTGGTTTTGGACAACATTCATTTTGAGCTGAATATTTTATAGCAACATAAAAAGACTAAAACCTTCCTGAAGAAAGTTTATTAGCTGTATAGTGACATATACTATATCAAATTAGAGATAAATTAATACAGAATACATCTTAACTATTTAAGGGTCAGTATTGCAACAACAAAATATTAAAATGTCACACATTCATGGTTTTTGACACATGAAGTGTTGTGCTTACTTTAATTTTTACTTCATCAGCAACACTGCTTTCCATTTCTAAGAATTCACACACCTTCTCTATTTAGTTATGCATCAGCTAGTCTTTGTTTAAGACCATTATTCGAAAAACCTTGGATTTTGTGAACATTTTCATATCACATCCAATTTCATAAGAGCAAAATAAAAAGCATATTAAATGACTGATTTAATTTAAAAACAAATCAGAAAATAGTCCACCTTTCTTAAAAAATTAAAATACCAGTTTTTTCAAAACATGTTCATACAAATTGATTTTCTAGCAAGCAAAACAATATTAAGAGTGTTTATGTTGAGAGCCACTTCAATGGCGATATGTCTAAATGTAATGGATTCTGCCACCACCTAAATGACGATACGTCCAGAAAGAGTTAATAAACATACAGCATAAATGGCACTTAAACATAAGCATACATAAAATCACTTATCTGATATGTATGACAGCATTTCCATAACATGCTTGAACTGTAAATAATTTGTGTCATGTGTGTATTTATAAAATAGTTACAGTTTTATATGTGTGTGTGTGTGTTTATGTAAAGGGTGACTTAAACAAGTATAATGATGTCACTTGCTGCTTTTGTTGTAACACAACTGTATCTCTCAGCCTATGTAAATTTTTAGCCTGAACTTACTTACCTTATGTGTGTTTGTCCTACTTAGAATTATTTGTCGTCCAAAGTATTCTATTGTGGTAATTTTGATTTTATTTGAAGTCTTTTTTTGTGTGTGTGTCTGGTTGTCTGTAATGATGTTTCTACTTCTCTTCCTCATCCTCCTCCTCCTTTCTTCTTTTTTCTCATTCAGCTTTTCTCATTGTCTGCTCTCATTCAGCTGTTTTGTTAACACAGTTTTTGTCTCTCTCTGTAACTTGTCATTCTCTTTATATGCCTTCTCTCTTTCCATCCAACCATTGTGGTCTCTCAGTATTGATGTTTGCATCAATTAATTCTTTCTTGGGGAAGCAGCAATCATGGCATATTTTTAATACATACATAGCTATTACAGTGTGGCTAACTTTGTATAACAGTTACTCATGGTTGGCTTCAGTTGTGTATTGATAATGGATTTTCTGACAGTTAATGCGTGTTAGAGAAAGAGAAGACTGGAGTACACCGTGACGGTAGGAAAGTTAGAGGGGAGGAGAGGCAGAGAGAACAGATGCTGGACAGTTTGACATCATGGCATGGAGGATCATCTGTGTCAAAGTTGATTGAAAGTACACGAGACAGAAGGTTGTGGATAGACATGACTACCAATGCCACATGGCATGGACTGAGAAGAAGAACTTGTGTTGATTGATAGTGAAATTTGACCATAAATGTGCATTTGATACCAGTTGTGTTGCTTTAACATGTCGAGCCAGTAATATTTTCTGTGTAGCTTTTCTTTTTATTATGAAATTAATGTTTGGCTGTAATTTTTTGAGGTAGATACTAGAGCATGATGATAGTTTTTTTTGTGGGTATTGAAATTGCAGTAATTTGTATTTTGGGTACTAAAGTGTGACAGAAATTTGTGTGATAGATACTAGAGAGTGACTCATTTGTATAATAGATACTAGAGTTTGACCTAAATTTGTATGACTGATGCTAGAGGTTAACAATAATTTGATTATAGGTGCTAGAGTGTGACAGTAATTTTATGACAGATGCCATATCTCTGCTTATTTATTCATGTTTAACTTCTGCATTAGTTACATCTTTCATGACTTCCCAGGATCATCAGATTCAAACTCTAGACCTTTGGTTTAGCAGACAAAGAGAGAGATAAAGTGTATGTGTGTTAAGGTGAGAGGGAGCCTGAGTGAGAAGGAGAGTCAGAGAAATACCTTTGCAGTTTTGTTCAGCAATGTATCAATAAAATAATCACATTTACATGAATTCAGTATCTCTGACAAAACTATCCTCATGTTCTAATGCATTTGACCTATATTTCTTCACAGCAGAGTGGATCACCAACTAGCTCAGGAAACATCACACAGCCAGACAGAGGTATGTTGTCTACACAGTAGGTCAGGCCATTGGTTAACTCCTTCAACATATTTTGTGATTACGTAGGTATGTACAGTCATTGACCACTTGGCATACCCCTGGTGCTAGCGCATATGGTTAAAGTAAAAAAAAAGACCCTTTTTCACGCCTTTATGCATATTGCGCATATAGTGCTACCTATATGGACATAGGGTGCTGGCCACATATTGTTATAGGCAAAGTAGGCACTTGAAAACGTAGGTCTGCACCACTGTTGCAACCACTGATAACTTAGCAGTGGCTATTCTCTCCTTTGTCCTCGTTCCCATTCTTATTGTCCCCCTCAATGCTTCACTATCAGTGGTCTTGATTTATTTAATCACTATGTAATTACAACTACAGTATAATGCCCTTTGTGTGGCATATCATTTTCATCAAGAATAAATGGTTTTCTATATCTCCAACAAGCAAAAACTATCCATTTGTGAATCGGTCACATGCCGTGGCTGCAGTGTATCTCTCCAAGACACTCTTGTACATTCAATGGGACTACATTGTGCCCATCACTGTCTACCACTTGCTTGGTTGCCTACAACTTGTCCCTCCAGTATTGTTTATTATAAGCTTTATGTCTTTTAGTATGTCTCTCTCTCTCTCTCTCTCTCTCTCTCTCTCTCTCTCCTCCTCCTCCTCCCTCCATGCGTGTGTGCGCACGCGTAGCGTTCTTTTTCTTTACAGGCTCTCAAGAACCTCTCTATTTGATAGCTTTTGTTTCCATGAAATAGACCTATTTTTCTGTCTATTCACATCACCATTTGGCTTTCTGATTATTCATCGTCTAGATTTTCTGCACTATATAGTAGGGTTGGGTGTACACATTTGACATTTCAAACTTTTTTTTATAACCCTAGATGTTAATAAAATATTTATTTTTGGGGAGTTACTCCTATTCTCTTTTTTGACCAACAATGGTTATTAAATGCCCCAGATAGAAGAAACTTGTCACCTGTTCTGACATCTCACTGTCTTCTGTGATGGTCTTGATTGACCTCTCCTTTCCATTGCCATTTATCATAGTTTTTAGTTTTTACAGATCTGGCTTATTTGTGTGCAGACTGTTGGTTCCATACCTCTCAGGCAGTTGATTTGATTTAATTCAAAAACCGACATCATTGATTCATGAACCGACATCACAGCACCTGGGGCATTCCCATAAGTGCTCCATCCCCATCTTCAGCAGCCATCGCAGAGTTGCTATACCAATGGTACCATTAGCATTCTGATTGTACATCCATCTTACCTTTCCTTTGAGCATCCAGTATCAGCCAGATTTCCTCATCACTCACTGTTGCATCACTCTCTCCAGACTGTGATGATCCATTTGCTCCTCAGAATTGTGCACATTCTCCCACAAAGCACTAACCACGTCATGCATCAGTATTCCACCTGGTTGTGCAGAGCCAAAGAGTTTGTCCGCCTGTCCATTTCCCAACACACCGGCGTAACCCGGAGAAAAACATCCAGACAATGCTCCTCACCAGTGACCTCTGAAGCGACGCGTGCCACTCTGCACAAAGTATTCCTGTCCTCACCTTCCTCAGCATCCTTTCTGAGTCAGTTACAGTCTCAGTGATTTAAGGCTTTAAGACGTAAACATTGATCATATCCACATTGGGCCAGACCCCCTGGTGTGGAGCTTGTTTCTAGGATGATTATGGGGAGCTGTAGATAAACCCTGGTTCTGATGTGTTCCCACATGTGATGCATTCCTTTAACTCAGTAAAGCTTCTAGATGGTTGCTGTAAAATTCACCCAATGCAAGGTACAAGATGTTTAAGTAACAGTTGAAAGTATTACTATTCTGTAATATCTAATGCATACTGTAATAACTACTGTGCCGTGAGTCCTTGTTATACATTAATTTCTTTCAAACAGTGTCCTGTTTAATTTGGGAGGGCAGTGAGTGCAAGAAAGTAGATCTGACGGCACTGGACATTGGCTGGGCAATCATAGACAAGGTGGACGGTCTCCCAGAGTCGTCAGATTACTTTGTCATTGGTCTCCTGTTCTCGTTTGTCATCAGCCTGGTAGGTGACATTTTGTATATGTCCCTGTTATCATTTTGATTATTGTTGCTATCATTCTGTATGCATATCCATGTCATCAGTTTAAGTGAAGTTGCCCATATTGTCAGTTTGAGTAAAGTTGCTGTGATTTTGTATGTGCACATGTTACAAGTTTGAGTAAAGTTGTTGTCAATTTGTACTTGACCATGTAATGAGTTTCAGAAAAGTTGCTGTCATTTTGTATGTGCCCATGTCATTAGTTTCATCATCATCCCATAACATTGCTGGTCGTGGGTCACCAGTTGCTGGTGACTCTCTGATCAGCTTCCTCCACCTGTGATGGTCAGATATGATGGACTTCATGGCTGCATGCCCCAGGCATGTTCAGTCAGTCATCTCATAATTCTAGGTCTTTCTTGGTCTGCCTCTTATCCTCTTCCCCTCTGATAAAAGCCCTTTAGTATTATTTTTTGAGAAACTGTTAGATTTTATTATGTGCCTGTACCATTGCATTCCTACCATTTCTCTGTATTCAAAACAGATTCATTGTTGTAAGTGCGCTGGGTAATTATAAGGCATTTGTGATGTGGTCTCTGTTCTTTAGATATCCACATTTTTTTGTGTGCCTTTTTGACAAATGGGCTGTTGTTACTTCAGTCAATCAGTAAAGTCCGCAGTAATTTCTTTATTTGTTTTGTAATAGGTGCCTCTAGTTTTTCGAGCGTATGTCAGTAAAGATGCAGCAAATATAGAGGACTTGCTGTCTTGGTCAGGACTTTTGACACGTTGTCTTGACTTGCCATCGCTGATCAAGAGTTCTTACACTTGGAGGTTTGTATTGTTTATGTCTTTTGTTGGACTTTGATACTGTTTTACTTTCATATTGTGAATATTGAATGAAAGAAACTATCTGTCTGGAAGTGGTTAATCTGTTTGCCTTTCTCTCTGTAGGTTGTGTGTTTGATTTCAGACTCCATCCTTTGGTTCTTGAATGCAGGTCTTTCAGGGATCACAGGAAGGGAGAGTTATATAGAGACACACACATAGTACAAATGCTGTACTGTTGTTGAAAATGTCAACTGAAAGGCCTTGCCTATTTCTCTTTGTGATTAACTCTCTAGGACTGATCAGAACAACATCTTGTCCAGTAATTCCTGACACAAGAGTCAACAGTAGTCAGGACATCTTGTCCAGTAATACCTGAAACAAGAGTCAACTTATAATAGATAGGACATCTTGTCCAGTAATACCTGACACAAAAGACAACTTATAATAGATTGGACATCTTGTCCAGTAATACCTGACACAAGAGTCAACATAATAAATAGGACATCTTATCCAGTAATTCCTGACACAAGAGTCAACTTATAGTAGATAGGACATCTTGTCCAGTAATACCTGACACAAAAGTCAACTTATAATAAATAGGACATCTTGTCCAGTAATTCCTGACACAAGAGTCAACTTATAATAGATTATACATCTTGTCCAGTAATTCCTGACACAAGAGTCAACTTATAATAGATAGGACATCTTGTCCAGTAATACCTGACACAAGAGTCAACTTACAATAGATTAGACATCTTTTCCAGTATTACCTGACACAAGAAGTCAACTTATAAAAAATAGGACATCTTGTCCAGTAATTCCTGACACAAGAGTCAACTTATAATAGATAGGACATCTTATCCAGTAATACCTGACACAAGAGTCAACTTATAAATTGATAGGACGTCTTGTCCAGTAATACCTTAAACAAGAGTCAACTTATAATAGATGGAACATCTTATCCAGTAATATTTGACACAAGAGTCAACTTATAATAGATAAGACATCTTGTCCAGTAATACCTTAAACAAGAGTCAACTTATAATAGATAGGACATCTTATCCAGTAATATCTGACACAAGAGTCAACTTATAATATATAGGACATCTTGTCCAGTAATACCTGACACAAGAGTTTAGGGAGAGAAATGTCTTGAAAACCTTTATTGTGGCATGGAAAGGTGTCAGCAAATGAAATTTCTTCACAACCTTTCACAATGGCGTGGAATTTTATCAACAAGTGAAATTTCTTGACAACCTTTTAGTGTGGGATGGAAAGATATTACCAAGTGGAATTTCTTGACAACCTTTTGTTGTGGGATGGAAAGATATTATCAAGTGGAATTTCTTGACAACCTTTTATTGTGGCATGGAAAGGTATCAACAAGTGAAATCTCTAGACAGCCTTCTACTGTGGCATGGAAAGCTATCAACAAGTGAACTGATACTGTTGAGAATCTGAAGATGTGGTGAAGCATGATTGTATCAAGGCAACATTTAGAATTGACCAGTCCCTATTGACCCTCACCATATGCCTCTAGCATCCCAGTTGGTATATTTAAAAAAATATGAGCTGGCACCACATGCCTAGTAAGAAATGTTCTTTTTGTTGGAGCCACGTCAGTGTGTCATATAGAATTCTTTTTCCTTGAACTCACGGTGTTAATACATGTGTTTTTCTTTCCCGCGTATTTATAGGCAGTACCTTGTGATGGTCAATGGAATATTGCAGAGGTTTTTCTTGAGTCTCATTTTCTTCTTCTTGTTGTCGGTTGCAGATCGTACCTTTAAGCAGGTAGGGGAAACTGTGTTGGTATTTTCTTGCTTGACCTGTCATGTCCATGTTCTGGAAAATGAGCTACTAAAGAAAAAACTGGAAGTGAAGAAGGATTTGTTGAAAGTAAAAAAAAGACCAGTCAACATTTCAGCCACATTAAAAGATTTAGTGCTGTTTTAAACATCACACAGGAGGGAAGTTTTGGCAGTGAGTGGGTAAGAGATAAACAGCGATACAAATGGTAGTTGAGCCGCGTTAGCGCAGTCTATAGGAGGCTTGCTTTCAAATCCAGCTGCAACTAGCTGCAGTCAGGGTCGGTGTTTGAAGTGGGGAAGTTCACCCAGGTTCTAGGAAATGGGTACCAGAGTTGACACTCTAGGGTAAATGGAGGAACCTCGCTGTAGCTACAGAGTTACGTGTGGACAGCAACACAGGCAGACAATTTCTTATCAGCTGTCCGTACTGGTGGCAGAGCACTTATGGTGTATAACCGTGTGCAGTGTGATGCTGGTTCACATCTCCTGACTTTACCTTGACCTTTACAAATGGGAGTCTAACATCAAGAGATGGATGAGCAGCAGTCTCAGAGACTGGTTAGCCAGGATTAGAGACACAGTGGGTTAAAGATCTATTGCAGCTAGTCTTTATGGTTGAGATGACACCTGATTAACCAGTTAACCATGAGCTGTCCTCAGATAGATTGTGGCAAACACTGAGAACTGACAAGAGACAAATCATCTTTGTTATATTTGATGGATTCCCCGTGTGAGCTTTAGAGCTTTAGCGCCCCAATGTGTTTTTTAATTGTTGGGGGGGGTGGGTGAAGATAGACCCACTTTACGAAAACTCTACATTGCTGATTCTGATGTAATATTTAGTTCCTTCTATTCAGCCTAGGAGGTTGGGCTGTGTGTGTGTGAGTGAGTGAGAGAGAGAGAGAGAGATATCTGCACCTTTTCACCCAACACATTCAATTTCAGCAAAATGCCAGTTGGTCACCCTTTACATACAACATGTTTATTAACACTTTCCTGACCAAATTCAACGATCGTCAAATTTCTGGTCATATCCCTTGGTGACCAGATTTGACAATTGACAAATTAGTGACACATAGACTGCAGACAGCCTGCCTTACCGATAGTTTTCAAGTTGAGCCACACCTGGGTATTTTTTATTATTTCAAGATGGCTGTGTCTACGATTTGTATCGCTTTGTGCTGATGCAGGCTTTGTTTTCAGTGAATGTTTGTACATTTTTTTTTTAAAATAAATGCATCAGCCTTTTTGTCATGTGTGATGATGAAAACCAGGCTTGTAGAATGATTCTAACACTGCCAGCAAAATTATAACTAAAAGCAATAATTCCTGGCTTAGTCAAGATACACCAGTGAATAACAACTGACTTGATGATGGAGGTGATGTAGAAACATCTGAAGACAGCAGTGGGCTTGGCACAAGAAAATGCTGTTTAGAAATGGAGAAAGGCTGCTCAGACTGAACTTCTTAAGCTTGACGATTATCCTCCATACGAAGAACAGCATGGTGCTATGTCAGATACAGTTGGTGCATGATGACTGATTTTTTTTTTTTTTAAAGAAATAGCAGCTGAAACTGAAAAAAGGCAAATCATCCTGTGTTTTGTGTGACAGAAGATAAAGGCCTGTTGGCCATTACCTGGCGTGACACTAAGAGAGTTGATCTGATATCTACTATTTACTCCAATGAAGTTGTGGACACGACAGTTAAGGCAGAATAATAAATTAGCCAGTTCTTGCAGGAAATTGCAACAAAAGCATTGGGGGTGTCACTTCGGCCAGCTGGGTGCAAGTTACTCCTACCCAAATAAATCCTATAAATGGTACCTATTTATTTTTAGTTGAAACTGCTCTGGTCAATAAGCATGTAAGCTACAACACTGCCAACTCTATGAATAAGATCACAGCAAAGAGGTTCAGACAGAATGTCAGTCTTGCTCTTATCGGATCTATTATTCTTCGGTACAGTATAACACCTTCAAAACTGCACATCACAACATCAAGACTTACTGAATGCACTTTTATTGAGAAATATGAGAAGCCAAAGTACAAACCAGACTGTAAAGTGTGTAAGGCTGCAGGTAAAATAAGCCAGACTTGCATGTACTGCCCAGATTGCAATTCACCTCAGTGCTCGACACCCTGTTTCAAGCTATACCATGTAGTTGATAATTAATAATGTTCCTGACAAAGACTATTCCACAGGTCTACAAGTGCAACTCCATTTAATGAAGGAAGTAGCTCAGACTTCAATTAGATGAGCTTTTATAATCAAGCATTTACAAATACTCATTGTAACATGCCAAAAATATGCAATACATTGTTTTTAAAGTTTTACTTTATTCACATTTTATTAGTTTTTAATGTTGAAATATTTGGTCAGTTGTTAAGTAAGTGCTCCTATTGAGCTTATTTTATTCATCGTCAGCCATGTTCCAAACAGTTTATTGCATTCAATTTCAACCCAAGACCGGTTGAACTTCAGACTGCAGGTGTTCATCTTTAATTTGTTTGGTTTTTTAAATATAAATTTCAGGTGTTTTAAAACCATCATCTTTGTCCAGTTTTTAGTGAACTTGTTCAATGTCAATTGAATGGCAGCAACTTGTATTGACAAAGGATGCCTTACTTGTTTTGTGTGTGTCCTCAGGATCTATTTTATTTCTAAATGTTTTTTACAATTGGTTCCACCTCAACCAGCGTCTGCATTATGCTAAACACTTTAGCTACCTGACATCCTCAAGGCGAGCCCGCAAGTTCTCCATGCCTCACTTCAGACTGAACAAAGTCCGCAACATCAAGATCTGGCTGTCACTGAGATCCTACCTGAAGGTTGGAATCTTGTTCCTCTCCTTAGTTTGGCAGTCTGGATAGTTTGTTGCGTTAGACATTGTTTTCTCTTATATCTGTTAGAATCATTCATAGCAACAGCTTTGTTAGTGTTACTTAGTCACTTATTGTTCTATTTGACAAGAGTATGTTGGGCTAGAATAGATGTCACCTGTACTGTGTGCTGTTGTCATCAGACGGCTACAGTAAAGCTAGAAGACTTCATATTTAGTCTGTTACCTGATTTGTCATTTGATGTTGCAGTAAATCTTCTTTTTTATCATTCACCAGCTCTAAACTCTGGTGGAAAGTTTTGGTTGTTTGTCCACTCCTGGACTTTGTCTTGATCCAGAACTTGAGTTTTGAGTGCACATCCATTTTACAGACCTGGCTTACTTGTAAAGCAGACTGATGGTTCATTACCTGTCAGGCAGATGCACTCCAATTTTAAAAGAAACACCCCTAATTAGTTGTCTTCTTGCGACATCCTTATCCATCATTGGGTCTATTCTTTGTTCTCCAAAATGGAACCCTAGAACCCACACAGGAAAATTACAGATGGAGGCTGTGACACATACTGTTTATAAATGTATGTGTGTTTAGGTGTCCTAGTAAACTTTGGTGTTTAGTCTCTTACTTAGCAGTGTCTGTCATTTGACTGTTTTATTAATTTTTAAAAAACCTTCAAGTGCCATTAAATGTTAGAAAACTTCAAGTGAGGTCTGTTGTAATTAATTTATTTACCAGTTGACTATTTGTGCTATATAGAGATATATGTTTCTTATGTGAAGAGCAAAAGTAAAATAGTATCACATTTTTTTTTTGGATTGTGCTTTATCTGTGATTTTGAATATGTTAGGATCATGTCTCCTTGTGTCATATAGTTTACCCAGGGTCTCCATGGTGAAGAAGTTAAACCATTTGCCTCCTGTTATGAAGACTGTGGATTTGGTTTAGATTCCATCAGGAGTGCAGGTAATTGAGAGGTCTCTGGTAATGTTACTGGAACAGCAGGATTTCATGTTTAATATTATGCTTTTAGCAAGTGAACAGTTGCAACAGATGAGGGGGAGAGACCGAGCCACCAGCTCTAAATGCAAGTGCAATAAAATCAAGTCTTACTGCTTTCAGACACTGATTTTAATTTACTCATTTTTTTAAAACCTGTTATTTCTCATAGCGCCGAGGCCCCCAGCGATCAGTGGATGTGATTGTGTCAGCTTGTTTCTTGTGTGCAGTCTGTGCTGTGTGTCTGATTTCCCTTCAGGTGAGTTTGCTGTCTGTTCTTGTTTACACTCCTTTTGTAGATTTCTTAGACTCAAGTTGTAGATGTTCTTGTTTACACTTATGTTGTACATTGTAAATCTTCTTGTATCCACCCCCTGTTTGAAATGTTTACACTCCTGTTGTAGATGTTTACACCCTTGTTGTAAATGTCTTAGACTCCAGTTGGAAATGATCTTGCTTACACTGATGTTCTAGACGGTCCTGTTTACACCCTTGTAGATGTCTTAGACTGCAGTTGTAGATGTTCATGTTTACACTCCTGTCATAGGTGTTTAGACTTCTGTTATAGTTTTTCTTGTATATACTCCTTTTGTAGATGTTTACACCCTTGGTATAGATTATCTTGCTTGCACTCACATTATAGATGTTCTTGTTCACAGACTGGTTGTATATGTTGTTTATGTAACAGTTTACATCTTATAGTTGTTTACACTCCTGTTGTAGCTGTTTACCTCCCAATTTACTTGTTTACACTCCTGTTGTAGCTGTTTACCTCCCAATTTACTTGTTTACACTCCTGTTGTAGCTGTTTACCTCCCAATTTACTTGTTTACACTCCTGTTGTTGGTGTAGTTGTTTATAGTTGTATTGCTGTTAGAGAATATTATTTTTGTTAGTAACTTATATATGCAGGCCAGTCAGAAATTTTGTAGTAGATGTGTGTGTTTTTTTTTAGAAGAATAAGGAGAACACATTGTGGTCAAAACACACTGGCCACCTTTACTTCATATAAATTGTTTTGGTACTGATTTCAGTGTGGGTTGACATTTAAATACTCATGTAGATTAAAATTAATTTCCTTGATGTCAGTTTTAACTCATGACAACCAGACGGACAGGCAGGCATGCTAGTCGTTCCACTACCCATCTCCCAGTCAGAACTGTCTCTGTATAACTGTAAGAACCCTCTTCTGCCTGTCATTATTTCCCATCTTCCTGTGGTTTCTGGGCCACAAGGGGGGAAAAGGGGGGGGGGGGGAACTAGACATGTTGTAACAGTCAACTAATTAGGGGTTTCCTTCAGAGCTGGAGTGCATCTGCCTGAGAGGCAAGAAACCAAAAATCCGTACAAATAAGCCAGAGGCTCAAGTCCAGAAGTGGATGAACAGCCAGAATTTCTGTCGGAGTTTACAGCATGTGAACGCAAATTCAAAGAAGAAGAATTGTTGCAGACACACACAGCCCAGTTTTCTAACAGTGCTGCATAGAGCCCCAAACATTAGGTAAGAATGTGTGATCCTTTCCAGATGCTGAAGGACACAAGCAGCTACCTGGACTACCTGTGCAACTGGGAGCTGTTGGTGTGGTGCACAGCCTTGGCAGTGTTTCTCATGCGCTTCATGACCGTGGGTCTCAAGATCAACAAGAAGTATCGCAACCTGTCGGTGCTCATCACAGAACAGATCAACCTCTACCTGCAGATGGAACAGAAGCCTCACAAGAAGGAAGAGCTTTTACTGGCCAACAATGTCCTGCGCTTGGCCGAGGATCTTCTTAAGGTAAGAGTTAGTTTTCATCTTTTTACATTTTTTTTTTTTTTTTTAATATTAAAAAGAAATTTCATTCAAGGCTTTCTTACTTTATAGTGCCTGGTCATTGTCTATAAAATCTTGAACAGCCTTTTCTGACCGTCGTGCTTTACTTCTTGCAATCTCTAATGGCTTGTTTCAGTTATGTGCTGATGCCTCTACGTGCCTTGAACAACAACAAAAACTGTCAAGAATCTTCTCTCATTTTCTTCATTTGTTTCTTATTTTCCATAAATCTCTCCAGAACACAATAGTATATGCTGATGTGTTAGTGACTGTTGATATAGTTTCTAATATTTCTAATGTCACAGCATAGAGTGAAAATGTCTGTTGATAAAGAATTTTGTATCTGTCAGTGTGTGGACAGTAATTGTCAAGTAATAGTAACTATGGTGTGATGCTGACCACATCACCCATCTTGTGCCGATTGGTGTATAAAAATATAGGTCTAGCCCTATATGCCTAGAGGCGTGGAAAGGAGACCTTTACTTTTTTTAAATAGTAACTATAGATATTTTCAAATATAGTTTCCTATCTGTCACTATATGGAATTTTAGTGACTTGAAATAGTTTATAACATAGTTTCTTATCTATCACAGTACTAAGTATTAATGACTTGATACACTTTCTAATTTGTCATAGTTTTCAGTTTTAGTGACTACTTATATAGTTTTTGATCTGTCACAGTATCACGTATTAGTGACAATTGAAATAGTTTCTTATTTATCACAGAATGGATCGTTAGTGACTTTTGATATGATTTCTAATAGTTTATTATTTGCTGCAGTGCTTACTATTAGTGACTGTTGATAATAGTTTCTAATCTGTCACAGTATGAATTGTTATGACTATAAATGTAGTTCCTAGTAAGGTTTCTTATCTATCACAATTGTGATATAGTGTCTAATATAGTTTCTTATCTGTCATCATAGTCATTAGTGAATGTTGATATAGTTTCTGATAGTTTTTTTTTATCTGTCACAGTATTAAGTATTAGAGAATGTTAATAAACTTTCTAATTTGCCACAGTATTGAATATTAATAACAGTTTGCATAGTTTCTGATGTAGTTTCTAATGTGTAAGAGTAATTGCTTTTTACAAAATTTCTAATGTATAAGAGTGATTAGTCTGATAACAGTTTACCTACTTGTCCTTTAGGAGCTGGAGAGCCCTTTTAAGATATCCGGTTTCTCTGCCAACCCTCTCATTTACAACATCATGCGAGTTGTGGTTTTGTCAGCATTTTCTGCAGTCCTTACCGAGGTCCTGGGATTCAAGCTCAAACTGCATAAAATCAAGCTGAAAGGTTAACCAGCTTGCCAGTCCAAAAGTGAATCTCGTTTCAGCCGGCAAATAATTCATGTTTTTTTTTGTTTTGTTTGTTTATCTATCTATTGAATTCCTCTGTGAGCCAAGACTGCACATTGTATTTGTAAATAATCTAGTTGTATGTTTTATCTGTGGACTTTTTTTAATAAAACAAAAGTTATCTGTGTTATTCCCCTCAAAATGGCTGGACAGATTGTGTTGTGATGTTGTTGGTGTTGTGTTGCTATAGTACTTATATGTTATTTAAGACGGAAGGCTGAGGTTGTTTGTTTATGACTGCATCTCTAGTGATGAGCAGGTTTATACTAATTGTACTGTGTTGGACTTGGGGGGGGGGGGGGGGGGGGGGGGGGGGAATTTTTTTGGGGGGGGGGTGGGGGGGAGGACCATTTTTGGAGATTTGGAGATTTACAACATCATTCATAGGCCATAAATAATTGTTAACCTTTAAAGATTAGCATTCTATTTTTGGTCAGTCAGTTGTTGATGTTGACAGGGCCAGGCTAAATTTATGAGCCTTATGTGGATCTACTGAAGAATAGGTTGTATTTCACAGAAAAATCTGTAGAAGTTCTGAAAAGATTCGAAATGAAAATAGAGTTGCTGAAGGAAAGTGGAAAAAAAAAGGCAAGTTAAATATTTTGACTATGTTAAAACACCTTTATAAAAACCATACAGGATGGAAACATTCAAGACAGACAGTTATACTAGTTGGAGGATGCAATCAAGAGACGGAAAAACAGCAGCCTGAGACAAACAGTGGACTATTTGTTCCCCACCCCTGTGTTAAATCAGTATTTGTGAGGAGCAACATTTTGACAGTTCTATGAAAATTATGTAAATGTTTTGTGAACATTGTGTCCGTTTGGTATCTCAGCCTCTGTTTTATTGATGTCGTCACAAAGCAAAATATTTTATATTGTTCCATTTGTGTGTTGGTCTTTTTTAAAATTATTATTATTTATATTTCATTGCATGCAGTACGATGGAAATCAGTATTATGTGTCTCCTACTGCAAATTTAATCATTTGGTTAACTTTTTTAATGTGTCCTTTTATTTTGTATTTTGTTTTTAAAATACTGTCTTTTTCTGTTTAATTAGCAGCACTTAATTCATTTTAATTCCAAAAGATTCAACAGATGTATGAATTATTGTTTAGTAAATGTAGAACATCATTAAAAAATTGATTTTACTAGCCTATTTCTTGGTTTTGATCGTTAATTTGTTGACGGATGTTTAACTAATGAAGAACATTGAAAGTAAAATGGGATCTAACCTGAGAAACTGTACTTGCCTTGGGTAGTTCATATTTTAATTGATGTTCAACCCCTTGCCGTGAATGCTGACAAAAATGTCTCATTAATCTGAGCGAATCTTAGGAAAAACATTCTTTTAACATAAACTATTTTACACAGGTCACTGAAAAGTGGTTAAACAATTTATTCATCTAAATTTTTTTCAATTTTTTTGTTGTTGAAATATATAAAGGCAGTAAACTGTAAACAAGACCAGAGTGAAGCGTTACATGGAATCCATTCTTCGGGGCCAGAAACAAATATGTGTCAGTAAGATGCACAGTTGAGAGGGAGGGATAAGAAACAGGAAGAAGAGATTTAGGTGCAGGAAGGAGGAGAGTAAGAAAACAGAGTGAGGATAGGAAGTAAAGGGAGAGGATAATAGAAAGGGCTAGAAAGGAGGAAAGAAAAAAGAGTGAAAAAGGGAAAGAGAAAGAACAGAAAAGATATTAAGGTAGAGTCCGCTATCGCCAAACACATTGTAAACATTAGCTGTACCAACAATTAGGGAATCTTAGCGATGTCTCCCTGGACGTGGCTGTCATCGTGTATCCACACACTGCAATAGGTCACTTTCTTGTACACCTCACTTTTCATCCACACACTGCAATAGGTCACTTTCTTGTACACCTCACTTTTCAGCCACCCTTTTAATGCATTTCATAACGAGCAGGCATGTGGTAATAAACAGTTCAACTTAAACATCAGCATATATATAGTCAGTTTTTATTTTTAGATGCAACTAATCCAAATATTTGAGTTAACGGAATTCAAATTATCAGTCAGGACTTTTGATAAAAATATAAAGATGGAAAGTGGCCAGGACTGAGCTGGCCAAGATGACTTGAGCGAAATTTGTCTGATCAAAGTAGACTCTAATGTGTTTTCATTTCTGTTTGGCAAACTTAAAATATTGTAAGGAAAGTGGCACCTGATGTGACAAATTATACTTTGTAGTTTCTGTAGTATTTACATTCATGTTTCAACATTGTTCCATCCCTTCCATGGACTGTTAAAAAATAGGCAATGAGTGACATCAGCATTATTAGGCGAGTCCATTCTAAGACTTGTTAAATTGATCTGATCATGACTAACTACACTGTTCTTTATTCCCAACAAATCTCTTCAGCTCTGTGTTGGTCTGACCTCAACTGTCCTTACATGACTGTGATGTTGTTTGTTGCTTGTTGAGTAAAGAACTTTGAACATTCTCATAAGTGCATTCTATCTCCATCTTCTACAGCCAGCACAGAGTTTTAATTCCAACAGTCTGATTGTCTTGCCTTTCCCCTGAGTGTTGAGTGTCAGAAAGTGTCTTGTTGTTTCTCTCTAGAATTTCCAGTCATTCACCTCCATATCTCAGCAAAGCAAGAACAACCTTTTAGGTTTTGTTTTCGTGCCAGATTCCTGGAGTACAGCTGCTTGTATCATCAGTCAGTGGCAATATACTGGGCACATCATGGGAAGAAACAGGCAGGGAATCACTAGAAAGGCAACGAAATTGGCAACAAATGGATTGAGGAAATTAGGACTTCCAAGAGAAACCCTAGAAAAGGAATATTCAACTGTTGACCAGCTGACCCCATCTGGTCCGAAGAAGACCTAGCAAGTGCCCCTTGGCTGCTTGTGTCCCATAGAGTTCCTACATGACACCTCTGAATCCCAGCTGTTATTCAAACTTTTTCTGTCAAGAGTGGTTATTACTGGAAATTGCTTAGTCCCAATCTATTTATTTGTTTCAAGTAACAACCACTTAGACAGAATCAGCCGAGAAAACATCTGTCTGGTGCTGAGAATGTCATCACCATCTCCCACTTTTACTGTTAAGCATTACTTTGAGTCAGATTGCCTGCCTGAGAGGTGAGACACTAAGAGTCTACATTTAACACTTTGCTGACCAACTTCGACGACTGGCAAATTTTAAGTCATGGCCTAACTTCAATGATCAGTGAATTCATGACATGTAGACTGCAAACAGACGGCCTTACCCATAGTTTTTGAATTGAGCTTTATCCAGGTATTTTTATTATTCCAGAATGGCTGCGCTTACAATCAATATCGCTTTCAGCCTATGCAAACCTTGTTTTCGGTGAGATTTTGATAATTTGCATATATTAAGCCTTTTTGTTGTGTCCGCTGATGACAACTAGACCTGTAGTATTGATTATTTAGAATCTGCCAGTGAATGTAGTGCTGAAAACAATAATTGCTGATTGCTATACACCTCTGTGCTTGATACCCTGTTCAAGCTATACCACACAGTTGAGGATTATCAACATTTCTGACATAGACTCTTGCACAGGTCTGCAGGTACAGCTTCAACTCCAGTTAATGAAGTCAGAGCAACCAGAGGTGCTTGTGTAATCAAGCATTCACATTGTAATATGACAAACATAGTAAAAGAAAAATATTTTTTTTTTTACTTTATTCACATTTTATTAGCTTTTAATGTTGAAATATTTGGTGAATCATTAAATTTTTGCTCCTGTTTAGCTTAATTTATTCATTGCCAGCCATGTCCTGAACATTTTTTTGCATTGACTGTGAAAAAATTCACTTAAAAACTGGAAAAAATGATTATGATTTTAAAACATTTACAATTTCTATAAATAGCCAAACAAATCAAGATGACCACCAAAATCGTGTGACATGTTTGCAAAATACATCTTTTTTCTTTTGTAGCAGTCATTCATGATGATGCTCAGAAGGTTTCAAAACCCTGATTCTTAATAAATGTTATTAGGAAACCAGTCAGTTTGAAAACAATCTCTAAACACCCCTAGTAATGGGAGACAGTAATGCACCGGACTGCTGGTCAGGAAAGTGTTAAAAATGCCAGATCTGCAAAAGTCAAATCCTGGAAGAAGACCAGTCTAGAAGTCGACAAAACAACAGAACTTTCCATCAACGTTTACAGCAGGTGAATTTTGAGAATATTATGTCTTAACTGTCAACAGTCTATCCTTAAGCACCTCTTGCTGTCACATCTTTTTTACTGAGACTGAATTTTATAAAACATCAAAATTTGTTAACAAGTTTGAGCAGGAACATTTGGGATGAATGGTCAAACTGTTTGCCTCGTCTTCTGGTCATGGGATCAAACGTGCAATTTTTTTAATGAAAATCCATCTGGATCATCACTGGAGCTACAGAGTTTGTGCTTTGTGTGAGCAACACTCTCAACAGGTGGCTAACCATTATATGGAGAGAGAGTGAGCCCAAACCATATGGTAATGAAAGCCAACCCTGACAAAGTTGATCCTCTGAAGTGTGATTGGGTGGAAACAAATGATTTCTTTTATAATGCCATCTTTATAGTCTTTGTTTGAGGCGTTGATCTAAATATGTAAATGCATTCACATCCCATTCAATGTCACAGCTGTCAAGTTTTGCAAAAATGTGATGTCAAACTGAATAAATTGTTCTCCCAACATTGCTAGTGTGTTCCCTTAACATTGTAGTGTAATATTGATATTATGAAAGATCCACAGTGAAGCATTTAGAATATAGAATATACTTTATGTATATATTGTTGCATTGATGTGTACTTTATAAACACGTTAACTGATAAATGCATTATATTTCCAAGAGCAGGCCTCCCTGACTTGCTATCTATTTATTTCAGCCATGAAATCAGACAGGAAACAAACAATATACTGTGAATTTCATTTATTGCCTTGCATATT